AGTGTCAGTGTTAACACAAAACTCACTCGGTACATTCGTTAAGGGCAGTTAACAGTTTATTAATCACCGGTCCATCAAACGTTAATAAAGACCTGGCTGCGTCGGAAACAGTGGTGTCCAGAATTTCAGAAATAGCAGCAACTGCGTTAGCGACAACCATGGGGTTGCTATCGCAAAGCAAGTCACGAAGTAACTCGAGGAAGCCACTATCTTCTACCAACTGTGCATCTATATCATGTAGTTTTGCCACGCAAACTGCAGCAGTTTTGCGCACATACGGATCCTCGTCCTTCAAACATTTCCGCAAGGGATCACAAAGATAGGCAGTTATTTTTTCGACTCGAATGCAACCCATAGTTCGAACAGCAAGGGCTCGAATCAAAGGATTTGGGTCATCACAATCCTGGGGGCAAGAAGTTAAATATATAAGCTAACAAACCTTCACAAAGGTATTCACTGCCATAATGGCAGTATCTGGCTGTGTTTTGGCATAATTCATCAAGTATAAATAAACAAGTTTTTTGAGTTCCAAATTGTCCGTTTGCATGCAGTTAATCACATCAGGAAACAGAGCACTGGGACAATAAAGATACGCAAACGCGGAAATATACCTGACATCCTTCCCCACGGTCATGCTAGCAATAACTTTCTTCACAGCCTCTTTCTTTTTATCCCGTCTTTCACTATTTAGTTCAGCTTTAAGTTCAAATATTTCTCCTGGGAGAAAAAGTTAATAAGAAGAATTACACTACCTTTCTTCGTAGTAGTGAAGTAACGAGCATCTGTGGGTTTCGATTGAGCTGTAACTTTTTGAAGCCATGGTCTGAATGCTTAAATCAACTGATTAACAAATTACTTGATATTTCCTAGAGTATCAGTCACTGAAGCTGCAACACCCTGCATCTTTCAACAAATTACACGACCCTTGTCGAACGGGACGGCGTCCGGTATGTGCCTCCAAAAATGGCTGCTTTATTCAAATTTCAAATTTCATGACATGGGGAAGTCTTCACCTGGGAGGTTTGATGAAGTTCATTTCAGGGGTACGCGACTTGACGGCGAGTTGTCAAACTGTCCTGTTTCTTGCTCTAGTTGGCTCTTGGATCCCCCAGTGGATCAGATCGTGTAGGAAACCCGACGTATTCCTGGTCAGGTCAGGTTGCACAGAACTGATAGTGGCCACAGGCCAATCACGCGTCCAGAATTCCTTCGGTGATATGCTTTCGAGTGTGCTTCCTCCTCTGCGACTGATCGGTTTCTCCTTCTATCTGCAAACAGAGAGAAAGAGAGACTTTACTTCTCGCCGTGTCGGCGAGAGACCTTTGTTGATGAAGCGTTCCACATTACGCAAAAACAATTTACGCACCTAACATTCTATGTCAGGAAAAACCTCCAACCATCTGGCTTCCAGAGTTTTTTTAAAGGCCTGGACACTTGACTGCATAATCAGTTCCGACGGTAGC